GCTTTCGAGAATGCTTCTTTCCGTCTTTGTCTGCTCCACCAATCTCTTGTGAACTGTCAGAGATGCCTTTTTGAACTGTTTCTGAGCAAACAATGTCCCTGTTGTACGTTGCTTAACCAAAATGACGGTCCCAAATGTTCCCTTTCCTAAGCATCGTAAAGATTCGAAGTCATCGGCAGCCATCTTTCTCGCAATTGTATCCTGAACCAAACCTCCTTCAATTGCGCCCAGCATTGGCTCTGCACGCACACTTTCACTGACAAAATCGTGTTCCAAAGGGATCTCATAAGTTGTGCTATCGGATCGTTCATCATCGCTCAAGTCGTCAGACGTCGTTGCTGTGCTGCTTTGTGGTTGAGATTGAAATTGGTTGCGCACCAGAGAGTTTGTCCTAGATTCATTCTCTAAATTCAGCATATCGAGTTGTAGCTTCATCTGACTAATACCACCCATTCCCGGAGACTTGAATGGTTTCAAGGAAGGGCTGCAATTTGCGCTGACAACATCACTAATTTTTGGATTGTATCGTGCTGGAGTATTGCAGCCATAATCGGAATCTTCATCTCCTGAAGCAGCAGGAGTTTGGAAGCCTCGAATTGTAGTTATGGCTGATTTCTGTTGTGCCTGTGATTGATTCATGGTGCACCACGTCGACGTTCAGCGTCAGCACGAATTTGGGAACGATAATTTCGATGTAACTTTTGGTGATTCTTCGATGAGCGCATCAGGTTCTTGCAGTGAAATGAAAAGACTTCTGTATAATTTGTTTCGATATGCATTTGCTGGTAATACAATTAATTATTCTATTAGAGGGCGGGTAGAATGAAATCTATATTATTGTCTCCCAAGGAGGTGGTAAATAAGAGGGAGAAGGGAGAGAGAGGGAGAGGAAGAGGGAGAGGGAGAAGGAATAATAGTAAGAAGGGAGGATCAAGAAAGTTCCAAGATTTTGTTTGGGTAAATGGTGGATGGTGAGTGGTGGATGAGCGGATGAGTGGATGAGTGGATGCTATGGGTACAGTAAGATCTTATTATTACGGAGTACAGAGTACAGGTGTGTAACTGGGGAAAGCCTATTTTAATGGATTTGTGTGGGATGATCACTGATGATTACCGCATTTTTACTATTCACCTTCCCCGATTAGGCTTTAAACTTCCGATTTTGGCTTCAAAATCACCTGAGCTGAAAGGCTGACAGTTTAATTACAGGGCTGCCGGGGCTGTAAACTTAAAATGGTTACAGCCCAATGATGATAATGCTGGGAAAAGAAAATGAAAAACAGAAAAGATTCATTCAAACCCTTTCAGATGATTCATTTACTGCTGATACTCACGACCTTGTGATGAATACTATGTCTGACATTTATTAACAATGGTTCAACAATAGTCCTCCTGTCTTCCCAATCCTACTATTTCAATAATCTCTTATCTGGAAAATAAGGTTATTGATTCTAGCATTGCCTTCTTTATTTCCTCTCCCCTGAATTACGATTCTGACGCAATGTGGAACATGCGCCATTTGTCCCAGCTGATAGATGCTTCACCTATGCACAAACAACCACATTCATATCCTCCGTATAATTCTCCTCTTCACGTCTGCCATGCCATTTAATGGTAATCGCTATTTCAATCGAACTCCACAGCTGGATATTGATGCAATCTTGAGCAAGGCGACCTGGACTTTTGCGGAAAAGCTTTGCTACAACAACCTAATATGTCAACACACATGCAAGACATTCATGGAACATGAACAACACTAATTCTTCTTACCACTCATTGCGCACAGGTGATTTAGGCCTCAAAGCGAGCGTTATTTCGAAAGAAGATTGCCGTCAGTATGCGAATTGTCAAGTTTCTGCAACAACCTCATCCTTCAAGCAGATATCATGCGTTTTCCACAACTACCTCTTCATCCTTTAAACATCCTTCTCCGATAAGTAAGCTAAGAGCTTGACTTAAGCTGGTGCTAATCGCGAGTATGTTCGAGCATAACACACGCAAAGATACCTACTCAAATATCTTGTCGACTTTCTTCTCTCCGGCCACCTTTCGGGAAGCGTCCGTGACGTCGCATTTGAAGAAGGGTTGGCTGGCCAGTTGGAAATATTACAAAAGTGGTCAACGCGGGCAAACAGGAGGTTGAAAGGTCGGAGTGATATGGAAGAATAATGATGGTTTTCAAGGTAGAGAGGCGCAAAGTTCTTGTTGAGGACATAATCCGCAGGGCATCATCATCTGAACCTTCCTCCTCCATTAAAAACTCCATATTCAGCGCGACTGAGTCCATTTAAGAATCACTTTTGCCATTCCGAAAAACCTATGAAAGGAGCGGACTGTCAGTTACAAACCAAGTATCGAGATGAATCAGTTCAAAACTTGGAGCCTCCGAGGAAGGTTACAACGCAGCAGTTTGCCATGCCAAATCTACACAACTGATGTTCGATTCATACTATTTGCTCATTTTGTCAAATCATGAATAAAGTACTGTATATACTCCTCAGATGCTGCAGCATCCCCTTTGTGATGTAATTGTGTTTCGTTTCTCTTATTAAATAGCATAACTGTCAGATGAAAATGGGTATTTTTTCTTTTCCTAACACCTACGCGAACGACCTGGCCATCTGTGCACCCCTAAGCTGTACTTTTATGTGAGAAATATTTGCTTTGAAGCTTGTCTCGTCAGTATCAAGTATACTGAAAGAGCTCAGACCTTACCAAATATGCCTCCTTTGGTTCACCTCAATATAGGCGCTTCAAAATGTAAGTGACACATCCCAGGTACGAAATTTAGTGTGTAAATGTGGCAGTCGCCGCTGATGTGTGTGGATCGCCTCGCTTGTCAGGATTCGACAACCAAACCCTTCATACTACAACAATTTCAGAAGTAAAGGTAGGAATAATACAGCCTTGCCGAAGAATATATCGCTTGTTCTACAATTATATGTACACAGATCTTAATGTGGCCTAACATCCACGTAATTTTGCTCACCTTGAGCGCCATGAAATTTTCTTACTCTAAATAACCCCCTCTACCATTGATATCACCTTGAAGCTGTAAGAATGTTTCTTTATCGTGCCCTGGTATCACTTGACCTTTGGTGGTAGATTCCAAACGCTTCAATCGCTGGGTACTTTGGAACCAGGCTGGATGATCACTGTGGCTTCATGTTAGCTTAGTCTGCTTCGTTGGTATCGGACATTCATACCGTGCGAGCCATCCCTGAGGTACTCCATCTCGCCACTATTACATTATCAGCAGGATATTGATGGTAACGGATGAAGGTCCTTACATTTTCAATGACGTGGCAGTGATCACTGATAAATAAAAACGTTCCGGTTTCACGAAGGTTTAGTTGCATTCCCACAAGACCATCTGTGTGACCTGGAAGATGATGAAGTGTAATTCCCTGGCAAAAGTCCAAGGTTCTTTCATCAAATGTTTTCCAATTCAAAGATAACTTCTTAACATCAGCACTTGTGATACTCCCCAAAAAATAAAAGATCGAGCTTACATCCATATAACTTTGCAAGTAGACGCCTGCATCCGCACCAGTAGCAACGGACCAGAATGCCGACCTCAACTCCTTATCGTGTACCCAGATCTCGACATCCTTTCTGTCCAAGAATTGATCCAATCCACCGGCGTGATCTAGGTGCATGTGGCCGAGAATTCTGCATTCATGTGAGTATATCTTCTCCATTCATTTGTTATAGGGGATCTACATTTTTTTAACATCCTCCAACTTGTGTCCCGTGGCTTCAATTGCTGCTTTCAGTTCATGTCTAGGTTCATACTTGACCCGTGCAAAAACATCCACTATATCTGGACCCCAAACCGTGGGATAATCAACTCCACATCCCGTTTCCCAGAGTATGACACCTTCGAAAGGATGGTCAATAAGAACAGCATACACTGGTAGTTCTCTTCTTTTGTTCACAAAGTTCTCTCCTTCTGTAGATTTCAATGATGTATTACCACCTCTCACGACAAACCCTTCATCACATTCCAACCATCCGAGTTCGAGTAGATATGCTTTCGTTCCAGGGGGACAGACATTGGAAATATGACCTGGTACTGCGCCTGTGTCGAGAGCTCGTTGTATTCCTGCCATTGCGATTGTACCTGTATATGTGTAATTTGATGGTTCAATTTTGGATTATGACAGAGGAGAAGTAGGGATATCGTGCGAGATTTGTAATATGATGAAATGAGTAATTCTTATAGTCGTTACAAACCAATCAACCCCGCTCTTGGTAGTCACTTCGTCTTATCACAAACATGACATCTCGTAGGATCATACCTGCAGACTTCCGTTGAACAAATGACTCTTGTGGCGGTGGTCGAGGAACTTTGTTACTTCAACAGTCCTAGTTTCCTCTTGGCGATGTTGTTTGACTGGATGTATCAATTCCGGGTTGAATAGAAATCGTGAAGCCCCAAGTTCTTCCCCGCTAATTACCCTTCCTCGAGATGGTGATCCTCGCCCCGGCAGTGGAGGGGTTTGACTGATTACCTAATCAATAAATCAAAGCTTCCGAGGTATTTAGAAATCAATCCTTAAAACACAATCCGATCTTCCAATTTCTGCATAATCATTTCAAATATTCTATCATCATAACAGCAAGCATCTAATCCGTTGATACAATGTCCCAAGATACTATGAAAGCCGTTGTTTTTCACGGTACTCTAGATGTTCGACTTGAGGATCGTCCCATCCCGAAAATTGTTGATCAAACCGACGTCATTGTCAAAGTTAAATACTCGGCACTATGCGGAAGGTCAGTTACTTTGGCGTGTAAAGCTCGACGTGTGAAGTTGGAGATTGACAGCTTTCTACAGTGAACTTCACGTTTTCCGAGGACATCAAGCCTCGAAAACAGGCTTCATCATGGGTCACGAAACTATAGGCACAATTGTTGAATTGGGTAGCGACGTAAAGACACATAAGAAAGGCGATTTGATTGTCATGCCCTTTACTGCGTCTTGTGGTGAATGTTTTTATTGTACGAGAGGGTACTCCTCGCGATGTGAGAAATGCTTGTTGTTCGGATGTCCTTTGCTTGATGGTGGTCAGGCTGAGTATATGAGAGTACCATTGGCAGACTCCACGGCTGTTGAAGCTCCTGATGGTATTGATGAGAAGAAGTTGGTTTTGATGGCGGACATTTTTCCCACTGGATATTTCGCGGCTAGAAACGCTTTTGATGGAATGTCACCAGAAACCATAAGCAACAGTGTTGTGGTTTTGATTGGGTGTGGGCCAGTCGGTCTTTGTGCCTTGATTAATGCTTTAGAGTATAAACCGAAAGTTGTGATAGCCATTGATCGTGTGGAAAGTCGGTTGGAACTGGCTAAGAAGTTGGGTGCTGAACCTTGGAATGACCTGACGAATAAAGAAGGGTTGACACAACGAGTGAAAGAATTGACTGATGGACGAGGTGCCGATTGCGTAATTGAGGGAGTGGGACATGCAGATGCGTTGAGAACTGGATTCGATTTATTGCGGCCATGGGGAAACATCGCGAGCTTTGGTATGTTGACCTATTGACAGCTTAGCTTAAGAGGAATTTCTCCGCTAATCGGCTATAAACTATAGGTGTGCAGCAAGATGAAATCCCTTGGTCGGGAAGCGAGGCGTATGGGAAAAATGTGAAATCACAGTTCGGAAGATGTCCTGTTCGAAGTGTTTTCCCTCAAGCTATGGAAGTTCTGAAAAAGAACCAACATAAACTCGAGTAAGTTACTCGATATCTCGGTGACTCCGGCCTTAGGATTCTAACAGAATACAGATTTATGACTGATAAAATCATGCCATTAAGTCAAGCGGTCGAAGGATATGATATCTTTAATAAAATGCAAGTGCACAAGGTTATATTTGAGCCCGGACATTGATTCTCTCCATTGAACACTTCATTCCATGGTTTAGCGCAAGAACTGGTGGACTAGCTTACAGTGATGGGAGTAGTATGATTTATTATTGTGGTGACTGATGCTGAAGCAATGGATATTTTATCAATACGTTTAAACAAAAATGATATGTTCTATAGTACATATCCACTGTAATATATTCAACTGTCAATTAGAGTTACTGGAGTCCATATATTTGAGTGGAGTATACCTATTTCGGAAAGTTATTCAAAAATATTCCATTGAGTATAGGTTCTATACTGAAAATGCGGTACACCCATTATAGTGAAGGCTGAAGGTTGTAGAATTTGGCCGTATACTACTCCTGCCACAGCTAGTTCAGATATGAGGAAGGAAATGTTGAGTGTGCTGGCAACTTATTCAGTCCTTATTGTAATCAGATGTGAGATCTCACAGCAACTCACGACACAGGAGCCAAAGAACAAGCATGGTTAAAATCATAAACCGTGAATACAAATCTTACAAGTCAGATAAAAAGTTCGTCATCCATGCGACCATTTCTAGCTAGTAATAGATTCTGCCTTATTCATCCAAAGCAAATCTTTCAACGAACCTGAATGTCTTCAATCCAGCTTCGAAATCCTTAACAAACGCATTTACATCCGTTGCATTACTATACACGCCTGCCCCAGAAGATATTTGCGCAACGTTTAACGCCGTTTTCGCACCTCCTAAAGCTCCAACAGGTTTTCCCCAGTTGTACCCATCTAACAAGATCTGACGAGGGCGGTCAGCAGGGAAGTACGTTGATTTTGATCCATTTGTGAATAGTATCTCGGCACCATCGGTTACAATGATGCCATCAAATAGTGTTGCATCCGATGCGCTGTAGGTTGCATCTATTCCACTTGTCAAGATCTCCCCCACAACTTTTACATTCACACCAGATGTCGAAAATGCGGTTACCAGATTGGACGCTTGCGTTAAACTTCCATTGTTTTTGACAGTTACCAAAACTCCAACATTAAGTGTCGCGATGGTTGGCAGTTCATTTCCGAATATTGTAATGGAAGAAGTTTTGTTATCATTGTAGTAAGTATCATCTGCTTCCGGAACAGGTAGGTTCAAGACTGCAGCGACACGTGCGGCAAGATTGTGCGAAACGCGGTTAAGTTGAATGAGGACATTCGATTTCACCACGTCAGATGTGAGCTGCGAGGTTTCGAATCTAATGGCGTTGATGAGAAATTGTTGTTCCACTGGTATGAGAGAATTGTAAAACAATCTAGGTTGAGACCAAACGTCCGAAAAGGTTGACGACACCGTCCTTACCAGGTTGCCTGAGACGGTCCTTCCAGGGGCTGTGAAGAATCCCCTACCAACTTTTTGATTTGCTTGCTTTGGATTGGCATTACTGAGAGTATTTGGAGAGTATGCAGCGGTGTTAAGTGGGATAAATTGTTGTGCTGCACCATCACGATTGTTGTTATGAACTGGGACGTGTGGGCGATTGATAGGAAGTTGTTCGAAATTTGGTCCACCGTGGCGATTGAGCTGCGTATCTAAGTATGAAAAGATACGTCCTTGAAGAAGAGGATCATCTGTAAAATCCACACCACGAACGATATGTCCTGGTTGGAACTATAGTATCCGCGGTTAGTATAATGTGCAACGAAATGCAGAGTCATTTCTCACCATAATTTGCTCCGTTTCCGCAAAATAATTTCTTGGATTGGCATTCAGCTTCATGACTCCAATTCTTTCAACTGGAACAAGTTCTTCAGGAATCATCTTTGTGGGATCCAAAAGATCAAATCCAAACTTTAAAACATCGTCTTCTTCCACAACTTGAATGCCTAGCTCCCATTCAGGACCATTCCCACTTTCAATGGCATCCCATAAATCCTTTCTGTGGAAATCGGCATTCTTCCCCGCTAGCACTTGGGCTTCCTCCCAGACTAAACTTGCCTTTCCTTGTTTACTCTTCCAATGCCATTTGATCAACTTGGAACTACCGGAATCAGTGACTAGACGAAATGTATGAACACCAAAACCATCCATGTGACGAAATGACCTTGGAATTCCATTTCCAGCCATTGCCCAAAAGAGAGTATGAAGTGAGCTTGGTTGCTGACTGAAGAAATCCCAAGCGGAGTCGTGAGCTGTTGCGGCCTGGGGAATCTCGTTGTCCGGAGATGGTTTGACAGCATGAATCAAATCAGGGAATAGGATTGCATCCTGAATGAAGAAAACGGGAATGTTGTTTCCAACAATGTCTAATTTCTTGTTAGTCTCCCTTTACCACTAGTGTCCGACGAGAGTAGCTTACCAAAATTCCCTTCGTCAGTGTAAAACCTGGTAGCAAAGCCATGGACATCGCGCGCAGTATCAGCACTACCTCTACTTCCCGCTACCGTGGAAAACCGCACAAAAACAGGCGTTTCTTTGCCTTGTTCATTGAGAAAGCTAGCTGCAGTGATATTGCTGTAGTTTCCATAACTTGTGAAAACGCCATGGGCGCCTACATGAATGTCAATTGTCTATCCATAAGGAATAGGGTACGATGCTTACCGGCACCTCTAGCATGCACGGCACGTTCGGGAACCTATGGAACAAGTTAGAACAATTATTTCAAAAGAGAAGAAGAGCATACCCTTTCATGATCGAAGTGTTGTATCTTTTGACGAAATATGAAATCTTCAAGCAGTGTTGGACCTCTCTCCCCAGCTTTCAAACTAGTGTCCTCTTGCATAGGCCCACCTGCGTCGGTGGTAAAGTGTGCATCGGTATCGTTAATTGTGAATTGATTCAAGAAACTAGAACTACTGGCTTGAGCATCAATAGATTCACGCTTTTGAAGTGGTGTGTCAAATCCGTACGGACATTGAGCCGTAACCAAGCCCACGAGGCTTAGGACTGCTGCCAATTGCATATTGGGGCAATTTGCTGTAGAGGTTGATGGGCTGGTTTGATGGAAAGCTCAGTCTACCAAAATGATAAAAAGGTGAGCTGGAAGGTATTCTTATACCTAGAAAAGGTTGGCACGGGCACATAAGGGATGTTGGAAATCATTGCAGTGTAAGATGAATGAGACCCATCTTCTTTGATGGATCAACCTAACCAAAGCTTATAGACGGCTATTAAAAACATGGATTACACGTTACCCATTTGATATGAAGCCGAGACTATAACCTTCCCTGCAGCTCTTAGTACAGAGCAGCTGTTGAATATGCTAATAAAAGTTGAGTGTAACACGAATCTTTTCATCCCGAGCCAATCAGGAAAAAGGATTGTAAGCATGAAGGTTTCTGAACTATATTTGCTTGAAATTAAAAACGCATGGTAGTAGAATTTAACTGGGCAGCGACGTGCAATCATAGATGCTGTGGTGCTCGAATGCTCGATCATACGACATCACCAATCAAAGTTAGTTGGGACGTTGATCTGTGATCAAAATCGATATTTGATCCCCACTTTTGTTCACGGTTTCTGCGGCTTTCCTCGAGACCATGACCCGGCAGATGAAAGGAAGATCCACTGCTATCACCAAAAATAAACCTTTGATTGTTGGATGAGCCAATGGATTTTGCAAAATGCATGCGAGTTCTTGTCCGAAAAAAAACCCAATATTCTCCAGGCCTGCTAAAGCAATCACACAAATCTTCACCACACAACGCAATAAACGCTAAATCGGGGTCCGAAGGGGAGTTCCCCCAGACCAGAGACTAATGCCGAGGATTCCAGACGTGATAGTTTGCATGAAGATGAACTCGAATGAAAAATGATTCAACGACGATGGTGGGTCGTACGCATATAAAAACCCAAATGTTTTCCGGTCCCCAGAAACTTGGCAACGCCAAACAAAAATCAATTGGCCTCGCTTGTCACACAATTAGTCCCCACGAAGCCTTGTACAAACTAGCCACTGGCTCGTCCCGGACCATTAGGGCAATGTTCAACAGAGAATAACTGCGCAACTTCAATAAGCAAGTAAGACCGCCCTGTACCAGTAGTACTAATTGCTAGTGTTGTTCAGCAAACACCAAATGAAAATTTGTAGACAGAGTAAAAGTTGAAAAACGGCGTGAAGCTACAGAACTCATCCGATTTGTGGAAAGCCTCCACACCCCCATAAACCTTATCCCGATATCAAGCTTTACGTGTGAAAAATCTGTCCACATTTCTTGGCTTTGCGTCATGAAGGTGGTTGGTAATGTTGGTAAGCAAAGGCCCAGCAAAGATAGTCTCGAACACGGAAGGTAGACCTCGATTCCAATCTGGAGCTCCACAATGGATACCAGTATTTGCATGCTCGTCTGAAAGATTACAAACTTCTGGAAAGCCAAGAGGATGAATGACCACGAAATTCGCACACGACAAACCGACGGTAATCAATCGCGTTGATGAGAATCACATCGCCAGCAAGACCATGTTTAACTTTCCAATCCATCGGTGACTGGAATGTTTCTCTAACGCAGAATTCAAGACGGCAGCCCAAGTGCGAGTTATCTTATCTTTGACAAGAAATGGTCAAACATCAATCAATTAACATGCTGTCGACTTCAATCCGGACCAGTCGTGTAATCGACGTTTTGTTCCATAGCCCCGTCTGCTGTAGCTCAAAACCAGATGAGAATTTTTGGCAACATATGCAATTTCTCAAGGCTTTCCATCAGGAGACTTCTGACCCGTAGTCTAAGCATATCGCAGAGTTTGAGCTTTGCAATTCCCCAAGGTGGCTGAGAAAGTGGTATGACCTGACACGCGACGAAACTATATCTCATGTGCTTTTTCAGTTTGTTTATCTCGATGAGATGAGATCGGATGACATCGCAGTTCCCCAACGAAACAGTTGCTCAACGAACATTCGAGTTTCATCAAATTTCTCACAGGCAAGAAGACGTGAGCTTAATTAGTTTAATGTCAGCAAGTCGCAAGCTGGAACTTTGAACGCTCTCATTGATCATCTGTTCGTCAACATCGCGAGACGAAGCTTACTTCGATTCATCATAACCTTTTGGATTGAGCGAGGGATTCAGGAAATGTACGAAAATAAATAATCACAAGAAGACAAAGATTCGGTCGATCGGAATAAGATAGAAGTGGTAAGAGATTAACTAAACCAGACTAGGCGACACAAACATAATTCATCAATCCTTTTCACCATTGGTGCGTTATTCACATGCGGAATATCCATTTCCCAGATGAATTGAACAATTGATGTAAGACTTGGTCTTTTTGTCTTTGAATGGTTCCCTGGGTTATGTGGTGATGATTTGGTACGCTTGATCCTAAGATTACTTCTAGAAGGTAAGATTTGACTTCAAGGTACTTTAGTCTAGCCAAGCCCATTGGATTTTTCCTCCCGCATCAAGGTCTTACAACTTTATCCAACCAAAAGCTTTTGACCGGCACAACATAGAGCTTTTTGACGCTCCACGTATTCAAACATCTTTAATACTCTTCGCTATTTCTTTCGCTACATTCTTCGCTTTGTCTTTCGCTCTATTCTTCGCGAAATTAGTAAAACTCTAGTTTAGGTTCAAGTATGTATACATAGAAGTGAGTATGTATACATAGGTAAGATCTTACTTCGTATATGTATGTACGGAGTTTTTAACCTTTCCGCTTTGCCGATCCGATTCGCATTAATCCCCCAGTTCACCCCGCTTCACCCCAAATCAACCCCGATCCACCCCCCACATTACACAAATTACTCGCTGAAATGTCCCTCTATTCCCCGCAACGAGCCTAACCACCAACCTCACTTCGCACTCTCTAGAGGGAAACCAACAACTTCAAAGACAGCACAGACTACCACTTTGCGACCAATACAAGTCAAAAAGTATACCATTGGATGCTTTCAAGGGTCTAATGGCTTAATGACATAAAATACGTCAATTAAGTTGATCAAAAGTACTACTCGAGTACGAACTAGCTTAATTACATTTCCTTGAATAAATATAACATGGCATATTATAACATAACATTTTGGCCCTTCTATACATGATCTATACGGACAGCTGTCGAAGTTCTATCCACAGCATCTAAAAGTCGTATCGCATTTCAATATTCTCCTAGTAGATCTCTTCATAAATGACGTGGGCCGATCTACTACGGGTCATATTGTTTGGCGGCTTTCGTCTAGGGCAGAGTGCGGGGGAGAAGTGTTCATTTTATATAAACTCACTTGTTTATTCTCCCGAGACTTTCATCACCTCGTTCTTTCCTAATTGCTCAATATCTCCATCATACTTTGGCTTATGGACTTTCTTCCCCTTGCTTTTTATTTTTCACTTTATTCATTACTATACTGAAGGTAGTAAAAGAACAATGAGAGGCAAGCTTGGTGTCACAGTTGCTGCATTTGCGACGGCATTTCTAAATACGACACTTGCTCAAGACTCAACATCATCACAAGCGGATGCGGATACTACCACAAGTTATTGTCCCGTTTACACGCTCACAGCTTCAGTTGATGCCAGCGCACCTATTATCCCAAACATCCACGATCCGCAGGCAATTAATCCACAAGATGTTTGTCCGGGGTATACTGCATCCAATGTGAAGCGAACCTCTCACGGATTGACGGCTTCTCTGTCATTGGCTGGTGATGCTTGCAATGTTTATGGAACGGATATAGATTCCCTCAATCTGACAGTGGAGTACCAATCGAAAGATCGTCTTCATGTGGGGATTGTCCCTACTTATGTTGGACCTTCAAACAGCTCCTGGTTTATCCTCCCAGAGTCACTTGTTGAGAAACCTTCTATTGATGCCGATGCGGACTCTACCACCCTGGATAGTGATCTTAGCTTTTTATGGAGTAATGGTCCGACATTCTCGTTCTCGATATTTCGTCAATCTACAGGGGATGTTCTTTTCTCCACCGTGGGTACTAAATTGGTTTACGAGAACCAATTTATCGAGTTTGCTAGTTCTTTGCCAGAGAACTACAATCTTTATGGATTAGGGGAGTCAATCCATGGGTTTCGTATGGGTAATAACTATACACGAACTTTCTGGGCCGCCGACGTTGGTGATAACATCGATGCGAATATTTATGGCGATCATGGAATATATCTCGATACAAGATATTACGAGGTTGATCCAGGTACGGGAAACATGACCTATGTCTCAAATGTGACGAATGCCACCGAAGATTATGTTTCTTACACTCATGGTGTCTATCAACGAAATGCTCATGGCCAAGAAGTCTTGATGAAACCATCAAACATCACGTGGAGGACACTTGGTGGGAGTATTGATCTGTACTTCTATGCTGGTCCAACACAAGAGAAAGTTACAAAGGCATATCAGATGAGTGCTGTTGGGCTTCCAGCTATGCAACAATACTTTACATTCGGATATCACCAATGTCGATGGGGCTACTCGAACTGGACTGAACTGGGCGAGGTTGTTGACAATTTCGCAAAATTTGGTCTTCCATTAGAGACCATTTGGTTGGATATTGATTACATGAATCAATACCGCGACTTTGAGGTTGACGAACGCAGGTTTGGGCATTTTGAAGGAGCTGAATTTCTCTCAAAGCTTCACGGAAATGGACAGCATATTGTTCCAATTGTGGACTCTGCAATTTACATTCCTAATCCCGAAAACGCAACAGATGCGTATCCACCTTTCAGTCGTGGTAATGAAACCGGCAGTTTTATGCTGAATCCTGATGGTAGTTTGTATGTAGGAAGTGTATGGCCCGGTTACACGGTTTTCCCTGATTGGATTGGGTCCGTGTTGAATGGCACAGGAGCACACAAATGGTGGATAGACGAACTTACAACATGGCATTCAAATTTTTCCTTCGATGGCATTTGGATTGACATGAGTGAAGTTTCTTCTTTCTGTGTTGGCTCGTGCGGAAGCAACAATCTCACTCTCAATCCCGTTCATCCACCATTTCTCCTACCAGGCGAACCAGGAAATGTCGATTTCAACTACCCGGAAGGGTTTAATCTCACTAATTCTACTGAAGCGGCATCTGCATCTTCTGCCTCTGCCAGTCAATCCTCAGCTTATGCTACCTCAACAGCAACAACATCATCTTCCACGACTTATATCCGCACAACACCAACACCGGGTTCCCGCGATATAGTTTATCCTCCATACGCCATTAACAATTTCCAAGGATCATTGGATGTCCATGCAGTGTCACCAAATGCAACGCATCATGGTGGGACTCAAGAATATGACTATCATAATCTATTCGGAACCCAAATTTTAAACGCCACGTATAACGCCCTCCGCAATGTCTTCCCAACTAAACGTCCATTTATCATCGGCCGTTCTACTTTTGCAGGGTCTGGTAAGTGGGCTGGACATTGGGGAGGTGATAATTATTCTCTATGGGCCTACATGTTTTTCTCTATCCCACAAGCCCTATCGTTTTCTTTATTCGGAATTCCCATGTTCGGAGCAGATACTTGTGGCTTCTCCGGCAATAGTGACGAAGAGCTCTGCAATCGCTGGATGCAACTCTCCGCTTTCTTTCCATTTTACCGAAATCATAATACTTTGGCTGCCAATCCACAAGAGCCATACGTGTGGGCATCCGTCATCGATGCCACTAAGGCTGCTACTACGATCAGATATACACTTCTCCCATATATCTATACTACGTTCTACTTGGCACATTCCACCGGCTCAACCGTGATGCGGGCTCTTGCCTGGGAATTCCCCAATGATCCCACCCTAGCTTCTGCAGATCGACAGTTTCTACTCGGCCCAAACATTCTGGTAACCCCTGTCTTGGAGCAAGGCGCTACCTCCGTCGATGGTGTATTCCCTGGATCTGGAAAGGGGCAGGTCTGGTACGATTGGTATAACCAGTCTGCGATTACCTCATCCCCTGGTCAAAACATTACAATTGACGCACCACTCGGTCATATTCCAGTTTATATCCGTGGTGGTGCCATTCTTCCAATTCAGGAGCCTGCATTGACGACTCGAGAATGCAGAAAAAATCCTTGGGGATTGTTGGTTGCATCCAACTTGGAAGGGATGGCTAGTGGTGAACTGTATCTGGATGATGGAGAATCTGTAGTTCCTAATGCTACTCTTTGGGTTGATTTCTCGATGACACAAAATTCATTATACGCATCAGGACGAGGTAGTTACGTCGATAGTAACTCGCTTGCCAATATTACAATCTTGGGTGTATCGTCACCTGTTACCAATGTTGATTGGAATGGTGCTAGTCTCACCAGCGGGTGGACATATAATTCTACTAGCCAAGTCCTTGCTGTCAAGGGATTGAGTAATTCTACGAGTGATGGAGCTTGGACGAGTGATTGGGTGTTGAAATGGGCTTGAAAGGAAATTTCTCAAGGCTAAAAAGACATACTAAAATGGATTGAGGTCATGACCAGATCTTTGAGGCTGGAGTGACTTAACATGGAATGAATTGCAAGAGTGGAGAGTCTGGACGTTGAAAGTATGAAATATTGACGTCATGAACTCCATGTCGAAATAATTCGAGTAAACTAATACACACAATGGATAAATTGTTTTGAATGTGGTTTGCAGATACTGTGTTAAATTTGTCCTACATGAGATCATGCGCATCACTAAAATCAATCCTAGTGGTGTTCAGAATGCGAGGTTATACTTTTTTATGCACAGACTATGATCCTGATGTATATACTTACAATTTTTCCAAGTGAATTTACTCAAAATACCTGTTGGTAGGTTCTCTAAATCAAAAAATATTTATATAAAAAAGACCGTCAACAAGCAATTAAGCCTCATTTCACTTCTCCTTAACTGACCTTTCCTCCCTCCCAGTGCAGAGTGCTCAAGTTTCTTTTCCCCCTATACCGGCCACTACTAATCTTCGAACCTGAAAGCATGGAAAATGCCGCTACTACCTGAGATTGGAATCTTTGCACCTGATATATTGCGGTGTCATCGAAGGTTGTGATAGCATCTAGAAAATGGTACAAATCAACGTTTTGAGAGTTTTCAACCCGAGATCACTAGTCGTACTAAATATTAATCTATCGTTGTGCAGGTTTCCTGTGGCCTGGATTGCAGTCCGACAATCAGAAGCTTTCAATCTATGGATCTAGTCTGGAAGTGGTTGAAATTCTGAATTCATTTCAATTTTGAATCCGTTAAAAAAATTAAAACTCGAATTTAGTCTGCTAGTCCAGACTACTGGACTTTCTGTCGCCATTTCAATATTTTTGAGGGAGAACCCAAACCTCAACCCCGTAAAAATGATATGCTGTCACACCAATTTCCGAGACAAAGACATTGACTGACATTTGTAATATTAGAAGATTCAACATACCACGAGATGTGGCGATAAGATTTTCCTAACCTCCCAGCCCAGACTCAACTCAATCGTTTTGGTCTTTTACTCGCCTTTTCCTTTCGGTCTCGGAGTCTGACTTCCAGGTTTTAACCGTAGAAAGGTAAATGAAAAGCCCAGAAAAATGACACACCCAGAGTCTCCAATTCTGAAACTTTCATCACGGGCTTATTCTCGACCTTCTACTCCCGGAGCTTCTTTTCTTCACACAATATCTTTGAGTAGGTCTACCAAATACTTCTCAAATACAACAGAGATCACTAAAAACCTCACACCAAATGCCTTAGCTTCATTCCCACCTTCTTCGATGGGAATCCACGGAACCGGAGGACCAGAGCCGGTATCGAGATCTAAAACTTCATTGACACTATCACTTTCCGAGGAAGAAACGTTTGGTCATCCTAGTATCGACCTACCAGGCTTGAACACAGTCAGAGATTCTGGATTTGGTTTTAGTGCTGGGTTAAGAACATCAAGGATCGAAGAGAGAAGATCGATTGTTGTTGCGAAAGAGGTGGAAGGAGACGGAGAGGAAAGCTTCAGAGATGTGAATTTGTATGTCCATGAACGGCAAACTGAACAGAGAGGACATGAATTGGGACTAGATGGAGATGAATCAGAGGCAGTGAAGGATAGAAGAATTGCAGAGATGCTTGATCGACAGGCAGATGAGGAGAAGGGAAAAAGTCAAAGATTCTTTGGTCGATTGAAAGATATTTGGGGAAGTGTTTCAAGAAAGCTGTGTTGTTCGTAAAGGGCATATGAGATTACGGATGTCATTTAACATTGTCATGCATGGGGTGCTGGTTTCAACTACTATCGAAATCCAGCTATTCTCAGTTCCTGTGACTTTAGACAGATAGGAATTCTTCGGAGAAATGCTATCCAAAGAACATGAATGCGCGGATCTTAAAGAATCAATTTCTCCGGAAAAAAAATATGATGAGTGCAGAAAGAAAAAAATGGTAAACAAGGATAGAAAATTGACAGCAATCAATATAAACTCCGTCCCTCTCGGATACTCTCTTGCGGCCAGAAAGTACGGAAAGATAAAACTCTGAACGCTAGGAAATATACATTTTCATTGGTCTAATCGCCCCATTTTAGAAATTCTCCTTCTTCTTTAATACAGATTTGGTGTTCGGGGTTTTAAACTTTCTGGCTGCAAGATAAGATCTTACCCTTAATTATGCTTTGATTGTAGGGGTGGAGGGAGGGGACTGATTTATTATTGGAGCTACGATTCTGAGGCTATACGAAGTTATGGCCCCATAGTCGCATTTTCCATTTCTCCACTCTCTTAAAATCGCTACCACCGCAGTTAGGTACGAAAATCAGTTTAGTGTACCTTTCAACGAGTTTGACAGCCGTTAAAAGTTACAACAGTCTGCCAAATCCACCTTCTAAACAAGGTACATTTCAGCAACTTGCTGCATATTTCTGGCGGATCTAACCGTAGTTACTTCTGTCTAAGCCGAGATCCGGTTCGAGTTTATTTGATGGATTGGATCCACGTTGGATTTTTGTTTCATCCACAAAGCAGGATCTAGCGAGGATCCAATACTCCGTGGAGTAACTCATTTGGAGCGTTTGGACGTAAATGGAATTGAGGGTGGTAACGACCCATCTCGGTGGAAAATAGCTCATTATTGAGAGTACTATTGATTTCCAAATGCGCGTTGTTAAGCATAATAAGGTTGATATAACAAGTGCGATTCTAGTGGGGCTAAATATAGTTTCACTCGTACGATAATGATAAATTAACCCTCTTCACACCTACAGCAATAACGCTTTATACTATTCTGACTAGAGTTTCTCCATCATGAACTACTATGGCATTTGACCGACATTCCAGATCTTACATGCAGTCGATTGTCTGCAGCCAGCATAGCCTACCACGTACCAATAACAAACACATACTTCAAACATAAAAAAAAGCCACACTAGATAGCCACAAGCATACAAGTGTTTCCTACAAAATACTAACTTTCTACTGCACTGCGAACCAAAATTTCTGCTGTAAGGAGTAGACAAGCTTCCAGACCAGCAGCTAGTAACATGTTCCGCATTGGCGCTATTGCTTGATTAATAAATAAATTCAACAGCCGTTTCTGGGACTTTAGACCGAGGTAGGATTCGCTTATCAGACGGCAACCAGACCGTTTTATACGGATGAGTAGAAAAAGATTAGCCTCAAAACTATACCCATTTCGATAAATCAGAGCGCTAAAGAGTTAGTGGCATCTGTGATACATCTGTGATCTAATTGATCAAAATTCTTAGTGTTCCGCGAAAAGCCGATGTATCTCTTTAGCTCCTGCTGTCAAATCGCGCTGTAAACAGGGGTATCGATAATCCCGATGATTTTCTTCAACGCTAGAATAGCAGGTGTGTTCAGAAAGTGGATTGTCCACCATCGTGTTTTTCATTTCTCATTCGAAATATGCCAAAGTGGCATGTGCAAATTTGGACCATGATATCGATAACGTTCTTGATCTTTCTCTTGCATGAATCAAATTGCCTTGTATTTTGCCAAGCGAGCTGCACCCTTTCGGCTCCTTTTCACATGTTATTCCGCTTCTTACAAGAGGCTTCTATTTGCTCATGGTAACGAGGAGTTACTCAGCTACATATTAAGTTATGGTACATGGATGCAAGATACATTGCATCAAAATGCAGCAACCTTCAATCGGCTGCGGCCGATAGGCTGTGCATAATAAAAGTCTGCGAGCTCTTTTTTTTCTCGGAAGTCGGGGCCTAGATTTGAACCCAGCTTATTCCCAGCCTCTGCTCAAATCTGAATATCAACGGATAGATAGTGGGGCGATGGATCTACAGGTACGGAAATCTGTTGTCGACTTCTAGTAGTCAAGATGTGTGTTTGCAGCAGTGGAGTTCTATGGAAGAATTCCCTGAAGTTATTGCAAGCTCGACCTGGTATGTGCTATACAGAAGCTCGCCAGGTCATATCTGAACACGAAAGTAGGGTCCAGACTTGTTGAGAAGAGCGGAAGGAACGAAACTTTTATTTTCCGTCAAAAGAACTTGTTCCAAAGTAAGTTGTTTGAGAAGTATATAAGAAAGCGTTGCCTTTGTATAACATCTATCATCCTCATCCTCATCAACTTCTAGTCGAAATCTCAAGTACTACCCATTGTTCGGTCAAATCACATATCTCCAAAACACATAAACCACATCTTAAAAAATGCTTGCCTCATTCATCACTGGCCTCTTGGCCCTCACAACTCTCTCCATATCATCCCCCGTTCCAGTCGCTAAGCGCGACACTGGAGAACTCTACATCCTCGCCAACTGCTACAACAACGTTACATCTGTTTCCTACGCATCCGCCTTCTGGTATTACCCAGATTTCCTCCCAGACTTCCCAGAACCGCAAGCTGTTGCTGTTATCAGCGCCAAAAAAGCTGTTACCTTCGAAGGACTCTCAGTTGCCACTAAAACACCATTCAGATTGACAACCACTATCCCGAAGAATGCAAAATCAGCAGCCTATCAAGAGATTGTTGCATCAGCTACAATTAGCAGTTTTGCCGGCCCAGCTGCAGCAGTGAAAGGAACTGGATTGGCTTTCTATAGCCCTTCAACAGATGTTAACTGCTACAATGAATATTATGTCAGAGATGTAAGTTTGCCATACGCACCATACCTGGATGACAAAAGGGCTAATGAGATGACAACAGAACCAAACTGAAGAAGACCCATGAGCGTTTTGTATCACACAACAATAAATGGAGAGAACGATGCGTGTGGGACTTCGAGTAGAAAAGTGATTGACAAAGAAATGAGTACTCTTGCGAATAACAAGAGTAGATGGATTAATGAATAAATGATGACTAAAGATTACTGCACGGGATATGGGAGACGATGACAAGAACAACAATAATAACGACTTATTCAATAATTAGGATATACAAAATAAAAACAATAGACAGCTCTGTTCTGCACATACAACGTTCCTAATGCTTTTAAGTGCCTTGCAAGTATACCAATGCATTGAATCATACCAGTTGACACTATCGTTGAGCTTTGATAGGACTTTTGATTCAAACTCCAGTCAGGATTTTCATCAGGCATCATCTTCGTACAGCAGAAATTCCATCGACAATAATACCAATGAAAGATATTTTGCGCCCCTAACAATAGCAAGCATTAAACATCTGGGCGCTAAATCCTTACATGAAAAGCTTAACCTCTCCAAGGGAGGGATCTAAATCTACAACCCCGCTGTTAATGAATGCGGCACAGATACCAACACATTTTCATCCCTAGGTTGCGGCCTGCTTACCCTCATTATTCCAGGGACAAACTTCCAGGCTAGCCTCAAAGTGGCAACGAGGCTGTCATCTCGTGATCATCTCGCATTGCTGCCACCGTCCAGACATCAGTTTAAGAAGGACCTTACCAATCTGCCCGAAGACTTTTTCCAATCCATTCGAGATACCCATTCTAGCTATAAAAACCTGAAGTTTTTCAGAAACTACATTAAATCCTTTCAAGCTTTCAGCAAATCCAAGACTAACTAGATTATAGTGCACTCTGGTGACCCGAATAGATGACATTTCGAAGCACCGGCGTATGGTTTTAAGTACTAAGACCTCAGGATTAGCAATTAGGCAAGATATTAAACGGAAAACCGAACTACATTACTCGTTGAGGGCCAAAAGACTCGAGGCAATACTCAACTTTGCTTTCATTTCATATTTGGCTAATAACGAACTAGTTTGACATTAGAGAGAGTTAAATAAGTTTATTGTGAGCATTGGTACCCGTTGACTTGTAGGTAAGGTTTCAATTACCATTAGGGAGCAGCGTAAGGGTTTGATAGAAAGAGGATGAGAGGAAATTTGAAGGAGGGCTGGTATTTGGAGCTTCTTCCCACCATAGCGAATGCTGTTGAGTGACGCTCAGCTAAGAGATTCTTTGTCTATGTCTTAGAAAAGAGATTCAAATGAAATTGAAAGATTCTTTCACGTTCATGGCGTAGGAAAGGACAGGATTTGAATTTGCATTATAGAAATTCGTTGTTAGCATTGTGAGAAACGACTAAAAAGACAACGCATCAGACACAATCATTACACTCTCTTAAAATCTTCAAATATTGTCATATTATTTCTAGACGTTGAAATTTTCCAAATCTCTTCAAATGGCTTCTCTTCAAACACTATGGGAATTCATTACCTCCTGATTTCTGATTCCCGGAAAATCTTGGGAAGAAACTCTTCCAGCTACCTGTGTCTACATTTCAAAACGTTACAGCTTTTGCGCCCCAATTAGGCATCACCTCGAAGTTTATAAATCCGAATTCGATCATGCGTGGTATTAATAGTGGTTTCTAGTATCATGGTATTTTAATAATAATATTTATTATCGTGAGGACCTGGACAATCTTCTGAATTATGCGGCCGGTGAAGCTGAAGGGGAGGATCGTGAATTTTATTGATTTCTTGGAAGCCCATCCGCAAAAGACTGCATGACTGATGAGTGTTTCGCAGGGGTCTTTTCACTTGCAATTGCACGCAAAAATCATGGTGGACGTAATTAGGTAGAATTATACTGATTGGTATATTAAACCATAGTTTCTGCTATAACCACCTATGTCTCTATAATACTTTGTGCGCGTAGGCTTCCTCACTTTATCCGGAAACATGTTGACCTCAATATTGTCATCAACGCATGCATCTCAGCTATTCTACAGGAAATGAAACATTGGTAACGCATTCGTCTACAAGCCTTAGTAACAAACAAAAGGATTTAAGTATACCTACGCTGCTCCGGGCTGACTCTCGATTGATATTTTTGTGAGGAGTCGGGCTCCTAGACCATCTGATATATAACTACTGACTCCTTGATGCTTCGGTATTCTACCATTGATTTCAGCCAGTAAATTAAAAACAAAGCCCGGGAAGAAGTTGGTGTAGCTCTGGCCTTCGGTACTGGATTCTGACAGTTTGATTGATTTTTCATGCCATAAAGAAGATACTGAATGTATCGGCTGATGCTATGAATAGGCCCATTACAGCTTCCATATTGAGCATCGTTTATCGTTGCTTTCTTGGCGGAAATGGTAGTCACACTTGGAATCTTGTACCTGTATCAACGGTTACGTGAGTATAATTCCCATCTGTGATATTTTTGCCTAGCTCTAATCGCAAATAGCTTTCGGCAGTCTCATCGACGATATTAATTGGTTTCATCATTGATTGTGCTTGACACTTTTCAAAACTTCGGCGCACGTATGAGAAGTTCTTCTTGAAGGCTGTTCTATAATCGCAACTTTCTTTTGTTGCAACACGCAAGTTCCCAAAAACAAGAGGGAGAAGACTCAAGAGGGCTAAGCCGGCGCCTTAGATGTATCCTGGTCTCGATTTTAGGGCTTACGTAGGAACTTTACCTGGAACAGTTTTTGATGAAAACGAAAACACTAAACGAAGTAAACAAAAAACTGAAAAAACAAATAGCTTGGACGTGACGCACCACGAGGGGAAAAGTCAGCCGGAGTCGAGAACGATATTTTACGATAAGTTGTCGGGAAGCCAAGTTGAACCATGGCTATATCCAAGGAGGTAATAAAGTCATGAGAAGAGGAATATGGGAGAATATGGTGGCAAAGATAAGCATGTGAACTATGATATAAGGGAATATAATCATATATTATGACAATGTTTAATATCGCTTGACACATCTCCAGATCATGACAACCGTATCAGAAACGATGATGAAGGAGTTTGTGTGACAATGGTCACGAGCATTCCATCGGGATAAATCGGTATATACACGACCTGTAATGAGTTGGTCCCATTCCTTACTGTGCTGCGAAAACGAGTACGTGCCCATTGATGACGACGACCACAACCATATAAGTTCAACACCAAATAATGAAAGCAACTGAATTCATGACAACCATCCCAAAGATCATTGATTGAGGAAAGTAACAAGTCACTTGAGCGATATTCCTTCAGGGTGGAAACAACTTCAAGATGCACAAGGCTCTTTCCAAATCCCGAGTCTTCGTCCCAAGCTCACCATCAACATCACGAAGTACCAACAGGATTCATGCACATAAACTCAGCACATTTGATCCACAGAGATATGCTGAATACAAATCAAACACGTCTGCACCACCAAAAGAAAAGCCAGCGAAATCAGAATTGAAAGAAAACCAGAATCACTCCATCGGACTCAACTTTAAGGACCTTGGCGCCACGAGAACGGTCAAATGGATTGTTGTTGTTGCACTTTCAATTGCTGGTACAATAGAGACAGTATTCTGGACTAAGGTACTCATGGCAAAGTTGGGTTGAGGAAAAGAAGAGAGGATGGAGGAAATGGAGGTGGAAGTGGGAGATGAGGAAGAGAACAAAGATCAATGAAATGGTTTCAAGGTTTGTACACTCATAAATACACGAGCAGAGCTGATAGTTTGCTCAAGATGAAGAAGAAGAAGAAGAAGAAGAAGAAGAAGATGATGATGATAATGATGCTATTTCCATGTGATGAACATGCAAAGAGGACTATACACCACTCACTGTATCAAGTATTCATGTATTCATGGGCAGATGGCGGATGAAGTCAATGTCTAATGGGGAAAGCTTCTAGAAAGGTTCCTGTTATGTACTAGGTATGTACTCGAGTCACACAAACCAAACTTTGCTCTCATGAACTGAATTGGGCTTAGGAGCTGAGAAGCCAAGGAACTATGCACAAAAGTTATGCAGGTGCAATTGTGAGAGCTAAGTTTCTTCCCCACACACAAAAAAAAAGTCCCCACTCACCGCTTTCGGCATGGCAAAAAAAGACAAAGAGGAAAATCGAATGGAAAAAAAAAGAAATTTTTAAAACAAGCATAAAGACCCTTAATTCCACTTTGATTGGCCCCCACTTTCTCATCTCCACTTTTTGAGCAATTATTGAATCATTTATGTGTCGGTTTATGAACTTTATGGAGGAGCTAGAAGCTTAACGTTGAAGAGAAGAGGGGTCGATTTTTCTGGCAAGAATTTATTACTTGATCTTGAGTACTCGTAGACAAGATGATAGTTAGACATCTGTCCTTGATGAATATCCAATGGAGTTTGAATGAACCACCTTGATCTCAAATTGATCTTAAACAGGAGTCATACGAAGAGTCATAGAGTACTTTGTGCGTGACTGGCTGTCATTTCATTGGCAAGCAGGAGGAGCTCCTCCGGGTAAGGCAAGTGTGGTAAGTCGAGATTATGAGTAATATCAGCCTCAAAAGATTCCAGAATCAATATCAATATCTTGAGGAATGAACTTCCATAAGGATAAAACACTTATTATTTTGATATGTATATATATATTTCTTGCAGAAATATTTCTATGGCATTCCTTGATAAAAAAAAAACGAACACACTAGACAGGAAATTATCATGTTGTGCAATGCCATGCCATAGAAGATGTCGGCCGGTACAGACGTCTCTGAATACCGAAGTTCCCGTTTGGGACCATCTCGATTCCGGGTCAAAACTAACTAGGTAGGTATCTACCTAATACTCATTGGTTTGTAGGGGCACCTTACCTAGGTATAGTGATCTAATCTTCATATGTCCGGAGCATCCAAACTTGACCATTAAATGTACTGGACTGAGTATGCTGTGTATGATAAGGTATAAAAGGGAAAACGACATTGGCACTGGCCGCCAACACCGCATATCAAATTCAATTCCTCTTTCAATGGCCTTGTTGAAACACATGCATCATATGTTCTGTGTGGTATGGAGAAGAAGATTCCTACCCTCAATCGTAAGTCCTCTGTGAGGATACAAGGTACGAAGTAGATGATTTGATATGCGTTGTTAGTTCTTTTTGTACGGAGCATAATCGTTTCGTATCCACAGTACTCCGTAAAGAAGGACACTGGACTGCTGTACGTAGTACATAATCGCCCCGCAATAGTATCAAAATATCCACTTTCAGGACCTTTATCGACTATTTTAGAATAGATGATTCGATGTCTTTAGCTCCGAGGCTACAGACCAACACCAATGATACCACTTTTTTCATTTTCCTTCCTCATTTCACTCCTGTTTTCACTCCTCTCTTTTCCTTTCTGCTTCCTAGTTCCTATCCCCTGGTAATCTCTAGTCCTACATCTCTCATACCTACCTACTGCCTCCAGGTCTATAACTCCATCTCCCCATATATTGACATTCTTATGACGAATAGCAATCCACCAACTTATGTCACTTCTTTCACTCATCATGCCTCAACCTAGCTCGTGCATCTCTTGACTTGACTCTTCATAGAATAGTATGAAAGTGGATGGATCATGACGAATAAACATGAAGGAATTCGCTTCTTGCTCTTACCTCGTTGCCTCAAGCCAGCTCATTGTATCTTCTTTCGAGATGACTCTTATCAGAATCACTGGATATTGACCAATGGAACCAGTTTCTTTTGCCATGGTTTGACTCATGAATGTCGGTATCTGAGTGACTCCCATAGGAACTATCAAGTATTGAGCAATGAGAATAGATGGTCTCTTACCTCTTGGCTTAGGGGGAGTCAGAGCGGATCTAGGATAAACGAATTCCCATGAAAATTCTTAGGTGTTGAACAATGAAGACAAATTCACTCTCGCCCTCTTGCCTCAAGAGGAGACGGAGCAGATCCAGGAGAAGTCATAAAAGATAAATTACTAGAGATATGAACCAATGAAACTAATTCCTTTTTCAGGTAGAACTAATGTGTTCGTTCCTAAACGGTTTTCCATCCCTCCCTGCTTAGAATGACTCCAACGGAGTACTCTGTCCATTCAATTCATCCAATGAGACTGATAGAAAAGTAACCAAGTCTATATTATTTTTGGGCTGTAGCGGTGAGAAATGAATGTTAAGTAAAAGAATTAGCCAATCATTACCTTCAGCCATTTTTTGGTTGATCGTTTCTTCAACCAATCTCCACAAATTATGGCTGACTGGGATCATGGAGAAGCACGCACAATTTCGTAGTAAAAGCTCCAACCACCAAATTGAAATCCCACCATCCTAGTCTTCATCTGCTTAATATCTACCGCACTAGCACCAATACACACTAGCGCCGAGTCTCAAAAAATGTCCCCTCCAAAAATTAATATATCGTCGATGCTCCTCTTTTTTCCTTTTCCTGTCCTCTCCTCCTCCTTCAACCAAATTCATCAACCCCCAACAGACAACGAAGTCACCCTAAACTTATCCAATTAAAGTATATCTTCATATTTTTATTTTCGTCGAGACAATGCCACAGGCCATCGCTGAGCAGTGAATCCCCACTGCAGCATGCTCAACCGGGCATGTCTGTAGTCCTTTCAGCCAACGAGTAAACTTCCCCAATCTTATACATTCGATCTTGACGACATAATCCAGACTTTCACTGTCTATCAGCCAATCTGATAGATTGATTAGATATCAATTGAGAGTTTGAAAATTATATCACAATTTTTCGATCGAGTTCCCAACCTTGCCATTCTTCCTCAAGGTGAGGAGGCTCTCTTCGAACGAACCAACGAACAAATAAACAAAGATACCAAAATTACTCATACCTGCAATTTGACACAACATCTCCTCGAAGCTTTAAAGTCGACTCAATCACAATTCGAGATCATCTTTTGACACAGTCAATTGATACCAGCACGACATATTTAGTAGAGTTTTCACAGCTATTACTAGACCTTTTACAACTCCACATCTGCAAATTTCCTCTCACCGCCGATACTTTAGGTCAAACGCAATTAACCCCACAACAAATATTTCTTGCAGATCATATTAAAACACAAACCACAATGTCTCGAAACACACAACGGGAGTCTTTCAAGACTCCTAGATCCAAAAAGTCAAAGAAGCCCAAGAAAATCACCGATTACTCTTCCGACTCTTCATATGCTGGCGTGGATCTCATCAGTGATTCCGAGGACAATGATTCAGATGACGAGCCCGATGCATTCGGGCGGGCCGGGGGGTCAAGGATCGAGCAGTATGAAGAAGCTGCTATGTTAGAAGAAGACGACGATTTAGAGACTATCGAAGAAGATACCGATGCACAAGACACACCTCGGGCAACTAATAACGATGAAGAATGGGGAGGATTTGAGGATTCCTCGGAAGAATTACTCGAGAGTCCTGGATTTTTTGAAGATAATCTGCTCGGCATCCAGGGTGCCAAAAAGCGAGTTACATTCGCCGACGAAGATTCAGACAGCAGCATCTCTGACGATGAGTCTGTCAACTGGCATCCCGACCTATTCGAAACGAACACTTCGGCTCAAGGTCCCTTTTTAAGTGCAGATGCGCTCCCCCTTCATCTTGCCAGAGGCTTGGATGATAACACATATAATGATGATCCTGATTCTGACACGGAACAATGGGGAAATGGGAACAACGATTCTGATGACTCCGAAGGGAGTGATAGTGATGATTCCGTTGCATCTGGATACCAATGTAAGTGGAGTGAAACTGAGCTTGCAATTGTCGAGCCCAGATGTTGTGCCGTATACTAATAGCAATGTTTCTGCAGCTGACCTTGGTGATGATTTTGGTGGAGACACAACTGATGATGAAGATTGGAGAGAGAACCGTCCAGACGCCGACGACCCCGTTCCTAGAGGCGAATCACCAGCCCCTCCACCATGCCTTGGTTTCCGAATCCAAAGGAAGAAAGGCCAGCCTGATGTCATTACTTGGTATCATAACACTGACGTACCATTTGTTATATTGGACGAGCAAGGAAAAGACCTTTTGATGTACTGTTCCGACCCCACCAGACTACAGGATAAAAGCTCACCTTCACCCATTAGAAACGGCAGCATGGAACAGTACAACCCAGTCCTTAGCAATCAAGCGAACATTATGATGAGTGCAGTGTCAGATGGAGCATCAGAATTTGGATCCTACCACACTGGCAACCCAGAAGCCTTCTTCGAAAACCCTCTTTCCGTGGATGATAACGTCGCACGCCCGACAAGTAGTTCATCCAATGATGAAAGCGAAGACCAAAGTGAACCTCTCCAGTGGGGCGACTTGCTTCACATGGATGAGGCAATGACAGATGACGAGGATGGACGTAATGACGGTCCAGTCGAAGCGCCATCATCTACCCCTGCTCGACCAACCACTTCCGACGGACTTCATCCCCTTTTAGTACATCTCGACAAAGGTACTAATGTTGGTGCCTTTCGCCTCAATCGACAAAACGAAAACCTCATCAACAGCAATACTATCTCTAAGGATGCACTTGCATTTGGGACCTCCACAATTAAAGGTGTCAAAAATGGACATCTCGATTCTCTCACAAGTTCTCTAACCCCACGACGAAAACCCAAAGCTCTCATGCCCTCAAGTCCCGCTGGTGACGTCGCTAAGCGAAAGCGGAAATCAAATGGTGCATTACAGGGACGTCAACCCCACAAGAGAAGTCGCAGCAAAGCGTAAATCTTATCGATGCATGTTCCGCTACCAATATTGAGCTCACGCTTGCTCGATTATCATTCCATTGGCAATGATTCATTACGACTGATGGACGGCATGACACCTTTCGACTGTCATCCCTGGCCTCAGATTTCTCTTCGTGTCTGATTTTTCTTCTGCACATTGTATATCTAATAACGGATGAGCGGGCGTTAGACAAAAGCATTGGTCACCATACACAAAAGTTCATAGACTTCGGTCATGCTATTAGGCACATATACTGTCTGTTGGAGCAGGGTATATGACAAAAAGTTCTTGTCCAGTTTTCTTTTCGTTTCCTTTTCTTTTGCTTTTATTTTCTTCTCGAAACCTGCACCTCTCGAACCTACAGAGCTTTTTCTTGAATGGTAGCCGAGTCGCACAATTTCCTACCTGAAGGACATTTTCACCTGCAGAGGAAACTCTATGTGGTGTAATTTATGTTTGGGCTGTATATTTGGAGAACATCCAAAATTACACCTTTTGGAATTGTGCTGTTGCTGTTCGCAATGGCTTACACAATTTGGGATGGAAGAACTTCTCGAATGTGGTCTGCTTGGAGCCGAGTTTTGTATTCAATCAACCAACTTTTGCTTCTTTAGCAATGTGTCTAGTATAGACCACCAGCTGAGACTACCAGCGGAAGGCGTTGCATTTTCATTGACAGACTATCACACTTAGCAATTCAAAAACAAGTTAAATTTTTTACATGATTATTTTAATGCTGAAGAATGAGGCGGTGGCCGTTGATGCATGCATGTGGACATATCTTAAGTGATAGCAGAAACATTATGATGAAAACCTCCAAAGTTCATTTCGATATAATGAATACCACACATTGACCAGAACGAAGGTCCGTTATCATTGCCCCACGCCGTCTTTAACAGGGAGCTATAAACTTCCCATTCTCATCTCGCCCTTTAAGAAGTTTCTAAAATTCCAAGAAAAGAACAGAACAGAACAGAAAAACACAGTGTGTATGCATCACTACCATCACCTTACCCTTCGTTACCCACCTACCAGCCCCCTTCAAACAAACCATGCCATTATTTCGTGACTTGAATTGATTATAACCAAGGGCTAGCTAAGTATTATACACAAAGTTCAAACGAACAAATTCAAGGGACATATCCCACAAAGTCCACACGTCATAATCCATTCTCAACCTCGCTTTTCCGGCGACAGAAATCCGTCTTCGTATAAAACCCCCAACCACTTGTCTGCTCAACTCCTCCACTCAGATCTAGATGCATCGTCGATATCTGAACAGATGATGGACTACCTAGCTACCTAGAATGAGACCCGAATAATACCTAGCTAAATATATCGAACCGTTTCTGGATTGTGGGTAGTTGTTGATACTAACTAACATCTTGCCAAGTCAGAGTACTATCATACATTGGAACTCAAGCACGTGTGGTGCAAAGTGGCAGCGCTTCCAATATTTCACGTGAGCGAACTTGATTACTTACCACTTCACGAAATCTTTTCGCCAAGCTATCCATCATTGTCTCTCGTAACTTGAACCTCATCAACTCAATCACATTTCGGAACATTAAATTCAAATGGCAGATACAGCGGATAGATAGAATCGAAAGTGAGGAAGGAATTAGTGTAGGTACTAGGTAAAGCTAAAGAAAAGCAATCGGATCTGGATAGTTACAGAGGGAACCCAAAGAACTTCTTTCATACTACCACCATAAACAGAAAAGCAAAGAAAAGAAAAATAAAAATACCGAGCGGAACGGAACAAAAGTCAAACAGCATGATACCTCGGCCACGCGTCACGGTTGCTTTCCATCAACATTTTGATTCTTCGCAACCTTTCCACGCATGACTCGTCGACCTCAATAATTGTGCTTAGACTTCTCTTGAATCTTTCAGAAATACGGTATGACCTTCTACTGAGGCAATCTCTGATAACCTGTGCTCCTGTCGTCGCTTTGTTTCTTAGTCATGGACTCGCGAACACCTGTGAGGGAATATACGAAGACGAAGACTGAATCTGTTAGCAAGACCATATCTGCATGAAGGGAGAAGTAACTTACAGAGTTCACCGAGGACAACTAAAGCAGCAACAGATGCCCAGTAATACTCCCATCCTAACTTCTCATGATCAAGGAAAAAGTATGTGTATTTTCCGACATAGGAGTTGCCGACAGCTGCCCAGCCAACATATGCAAGAAGAAGTACAGCGATGGCAGTAACATGGTTCCAAACAGGCTTGAACATATTTAGTAGAATAAGAGAGATAGAGTCAGAAAAACCTACGTCAGATCTCTTTATGCTGCTGAGGATGAAGAGCTCGATCAAAGCAGCAACGGAATTAAGACCGTGCTTGCTGAAGATGAAGTAAGTCGTGAGCTTATCATTAAAGATTGTGTCTCCTGGATCCTCGTTAGTATTGATTACAGTATCGTCAAAGGATTCTTACCTGGAATTTCTGTCTGGCTTCGAGGGACGACAACTGCCCAGTGGATGAAGGTAACGACGTGAGGGAAAGCAAGGATAACCCAATAAAAGACACTAAATAGGTACTTCCCGTTGGTGTTGGTGTTTTTACGAGATGGTGAGAGAAATTTTCGCATGTAGCCAGAGAGCGATGAAGAATTATTGTCATTGTTGTGTGGGTAGTAAAGGTGCATGAAGGTCCAAATCTGCCGACAGGTAAAGATTAGCACCAGATATTGAAACTGAGTAATGGTACGTGTAGTTTGAGGAATCGAAGACATATACTTACAAAGGCAACCCAGGCGTATAGAGTTTGAAAGCCATACACGATATTTGAAAGTTTATAAACAACCAACCAGCCATTTTTGAGGATTTCAAGCTCGTAATGAAGGATGACAAGCGAAGAGATCAGAAAGTAGGCTGCGAGGGCTCCTCTGAGATAGACAAGGCATTTCTGAGAAATGTTAATCCATGGAGAGTGACAAGCACGGAGGAAGATAGGCTGCAATTTGATTAGCATTATTCATCAACTGCGAATGAAAATGTTAAGATGGAACTTACGTGATCATTCTTCTTACTACTTCCATTTGGAAGGAGAGCGGTAGATGAAGACATCGAAGGATACGATTCCGAATAGATAGATGAAGCTTACTAGGTATAGAATGAAAGACGAAACTGACCAAAACGAGATTTGGATGAATGAATCGAGTAAATAAAACGACCGAGAAACACGATGCTTTGCAATGAAGTTGTGTCGTGGTGTAAGATGGAGAGAAAGGAAACAGATGGAGAGAAGAAATAAACATGCCATGAAAAAAGCTAGCATACAAATGGATCAAGACAGGAAGGAGAAGATGAGGACTTGCAATCCTTCTTGTCAACAACACTGATGGCAGGAGCGAATGGATACAACGGCAACAAAGGGAAAGCACAGTCCTGTCAAGGTGCGGGAACGGGATGCCTAGAGATCTTGAACATAACTCGGATTTCTGGCTGATGTATCAGAAAGGAGGAAGCTCGTAGTATATCCCTTACTCAGCTATCCGGGAAGGAACTAGAACCCATGGCCATTGTCCAGAGGAAACTCAAGAACTGCAAATGCAACTTTGAGGTTTGATGTATATGGAACCAATTTGAGTTTCATGGAAAGGCCAATGACCACTAGAGATTGAAGACCTACTGCTGCAAATACATACTACCTAGGTATATAACATTCATGAGATATCATTATATATGTGAAAAGGTTGGTTATCATCCCCTCCTCAAATCGATATCTTTGATTCCTTGAGCATCTCATTGTCTGATTACATAAGTGAGGATGTTGAAGTCTAAGACTGCACAATGCACGGACCATAAGTTTATGCATAAGTCAGGCACAAGTCAAGCATAACTAATCCTTACCTACAGAAGGTGTCCTTATTTCCTCATTTCCTCATTTACGACTTGTAAGAAATGTGCCTGTACCTTTGATCGCAATCATCACCAAAGGCGATTCGCCCATTCTTTGACTGGTCTTAAGACAATCGCTTCGCAGATTTTAACATCTTCCACCTCTACCCTACCAACGCAACGAATTGTGCACCATCGACCATGCTTTCCTTTCTCCAGAACCCCCGCCAAGCAGCGGCTCAAGTGTTGAACTTCGCCCTCATTCTTTCTACTGCCTTTATGATGTGGAAAGGTCTCTCAGTCGCTTCGGATTCTCCTTCGCCAATTGTTGTCGTTTTATCCGGATCCATGGAACCTGCGTTCCAGCGTGGAGATCTTTTGTTTCTATGGAACAGGAATTTGTTGGAAGAGACAAAGGTTGGAGAAATTGTGGTCTACAATGTCAAGGGGAAGGATATACCTATTGTGCATCGGTTGGTTAGAAAGTTTGGAGCAGGGTGAGTCTCTACTTTACGGGTTGCGGAGAACGGCGGAGATGTGCTTGGAATACTGAATTTCGTGGAATCTAACAATACATTTTATACTAATACCCGGGACTGCAGACCCAAAGCAAAATTATTGACAAAGGGAGACAACAATGTGGCAGACGATACGGAGCTATATGCACGAGGACAGGATTACATTGAGAGGGAAGATATCATCGGAAGTGTTGTGGGATACATACCATTTGTGGGATATGTTACCATTCTACTCAGTGAGCATCCATGGCTTAAGACTGTTATGCTGGGAATGATGGGTTTAGTCGTTGTTTTGCAGAGGGAATAACCAGGGCAATAGCCGAACTGAGAACAGCGTTAAAAGAAAGAAAATACCCCAACTTTACATGATCTGAAGGAAGGACAATATACATGTGAGGATAGTTTCACGTCAATGTGAAGACAACAGGAAATGAAGCCGACTTTGATATTATTTTCGGGCCTGAAGTGTTGGAACTTTCAACCCAGGCAGACTTTGGAGTTCTGGTGTCTACTAATCTTTAAGTAATAGGTAGGACGAAGGGGAGACTAAGACAAAGATCGAGGGACTTGGAAAGAAGACTTGATGAAAGGCCGTTCATAGATGCAGAAACTATCATTCATCTCCAGTATTTACCTTCTACCAAGGTTTGTACAATACACCTTAAATAGCAGTATTCGGGTAGAGGACATTAAAATAATTCCAACATGGTATTCATTCACTCACTCGTACCTACTTGGTAAATCCAGGTAGCCAGCCTTCTTTACCTGACACAAATGTTCAGCCTTGCCATTTGCTGCCTCGGAAGGACAGGGATAGAAAAGACCGTCTATCTAGGTACCTATCTATCCACAAGCTCTGACGTGAACCTTCCACTTGAGTGAAATTCGGTTGCTTTACTTTCCATCCTATAAGGTAAGTACTAGCTTTCCAATAGCTTTCTATAAAATACTCTCACATAATTTCAAACTCTCACACTCAAAACAGATTTAAAATAACCTTACAAAAAGAAGTATTCTTTGAATTTCCGAATAAGTTTCATAGATTGAAGTTTGACCATACATCTATTTTATAAGTAAGAGATCTCACCCACCCAACTCGTTCTGATTCTAACAGCAGGTCAACAGTCAGTCACATCATCTTCAATTTTGCACATTTCACCCCTCATCCAACACCCATACCTACCCCGCCACTCTCTGTAGCTACCTTGAAAGTTATCCACCAACAGTCAAAATGGCAGCACGCCGTATCGCCAAGGTTTGCAACCATGATTCCCGAGCCTGAGCACAAGTAGAGCATGGTCTGACTGGAGATGTATTAGGAGTTAAAGGTAGTGACGGAAAATCCCATCCCAGGCATCAGCACATCCTTAATGAAGGAGGATGATTTACATCAATGGAAAGTCGAGATGGAAGGCCCTGCAAACACACCATATGCCGTACGACTCTTTCCTACTTGAACGTCCCCTCCTTCTCACTAACGCTTGCACATCAGGGCGGCTTATTTATCCTCAACGTCGTCCTCCCCAAAGACTATCCTTTCAAACCACCCGTCGTCAATTTCGTAACTCGCATCTACCATCCTAACGTTACCTACGATGAGAAAGGATCAATTTGCGTGGATGAGTTGAAGCAAGACAAGTGGAAGCCTAGTGGAAAGATTACGGCTATTCTGGGAGCCATTAGGAACCTTTTGATCCAGCCAAATCCGGACGATCCATTAGAAAATGCGATTGCGGAAAAATTGAAGACGGATCCAGAGGGCTTTGCGAAAGAGGCAACAGAAAATACGAAGAAGTATGCTATGAAGAAATGAATGGTGTAAACTACGAGAAGCATGTGGAAGTTGATGGAGGGAAGGTTGGACATTGTACGATCCGGGCAACGAGAACGATGTGATATGAAGTCATCGACAGATGACGATGATTGACAGCACTTTCAGCAGCGAAATGAATGGCATTGGCGTTTAGGGTGCATAGAAGAAATTACTATTACGTTATCAGAGATCAGACAGCAAAAAAATCAGGAATAAATATGCATTTGCTTTTCCGGGAAAGACGGTTGCATGATCTGGACGTGGGTGATTTGAAATATCTGTATGGATCACCTGGATGGATCACCTCTGAACTTTGATGAAAGGCCGATTTGTAAATTGACAAGTCAGACTATTTCCAAGCTCTTTGCTTCTTCGTTTTGTTGTTTTTTTTATTCATCACAATGGTTCACTCCACCTCTTTTCGGGATAATATCACGAATTGACCGATGCGCAAAGAAATAAACGCTCATGCCTCCTTGCTCCTCTAGCATCAAGACGGCGTGCAAAAGGGAGAGAACTAGAGGGGAAAAGTGACGCGAGGGTTAAGCCTTATGCCAAAGAGAGAGGGAAGTAAACAATAGAAAGGCGTCTATGAAGTCAGAAGGTTTTAGAAGAGTTTCCATGTTCGAGAGGGTATTTTATCAGTTATCATAAAATATAGCGGTAGCAAGATTGATGATGTTGGTATGAGCTTCAAGGTTTCGGTTCAACGTTTGTAAGAGATTAATTGGGATAGGAAATGGAATAGGGAATGGAATAGGAAATAGGATCAGGTTCCAACGTTGATCCGAAACCTTTCCTTATTAATTTACTGGGCTGACCTGGGCTTACCATAATCATGACATGCATACCTAGGTATGTTTACCTGGGTAGGTATTCACCCCATTGATCTCGCTTCCCTCTCGTTTTCTGTCTTTCTGTCTTTCCGTCCTCCCCCTCCCTGTCTCCTGAGTCTTCTCCCTTTCTGCTCGGCTTCCAAGTTCTATTAAACCTTCCCTTCCCTTCCCAAACTCTCAGACATGCGAGATTTCTTGGCTAGAGAATCTAAGCAGGGTTGTTGATGCAGAGGAACATCAAAATAAGATTTGATGACAATTTACTTTTCTTTTTTGTAATGAACTAACGGGCGGCTGGTTAGCAATTAGCTATTTCATGGGTAGCCTTAGATACACATTATAAATTATAAGAGAATTGAAGGAGAAAACTTTCTATATAATAATATAATAAATATCGGTTGGCTCTCGATTCATCACCGATAACTACGGAGTATATTCCGGATGGGAAAGGAAGATCCCTATCAGATCCCGGAGCACAATTCCAAGCAGGATAGAGTAGAAAGCATGATGAGCGTGAAGAGTATAACCATGATGGGATTTCAGCCAGTGCTCATTTAAAGATATGGGAAATATATGGAACATGTCAATCAAATTTGCACCATGATAGATTTATATTACTTGACAATATGAACCTTCCATTGTCTACGGGGTAAGGTCATGTTGATTCTTTTTGCCTTGTTTATATATTTATTATTATTATGATTATGGTTATTGCTTTGACCATCTCACGAAACAAATGAATTGAATGAAATATCCGAAACCTTTTCTTTACTTTACTTTACTTTACTTTACTTTACTTTGATTGATTATTCATTCATATTCATATTCATATTCATATTCATATTCATATTCATATTCATATTCATATTCATATTCATATTCATATTCATATTCATTCGTTGATTGATTTTACTCTAGCTAATTCATCAATCGGTTTATTCATCCACTCGTTCATTCTCAACATCAACCTCTTATTACTTTCTCTCATCAATGAGCGATTCATACACATTCATTACTAAAATTCGCCTTGATTCCAATTCAAGGGTGGATCATAAACTAAACGCTATACTATCGATCTTTACTACACCATCCCACACCATCCCATTATTTACTTTCTTAAAGCGCCTTTTCCCTCAAAATACAATACAAGAAAGATACAAGCAAGTTTTAGTTATCGGTGCTGCTACCAAAATACACCTGATACCTACTTGATACTTGATCTTTGATCTCTGATACTGGATATTTGATACTTCTTGACCCTTCCGCAACTCAAACTTCATTCACAGCTTCATAAATTCACAACTCCACCCACTAATTAATTAACTCAGCGCTGGTTGATCCCTATTAAATCCACTTTTTACGCATAATTCCTTCTATTCGTGTCACTCTCTCACTCTTACTCTTACTCTCACTCTTTCTTACTCTTTTCTTACTCTTACCCTGACTCTTATTTCTCACTCTCACTCTCATACCTCACTCGTTACCTGGGATCCAATCCGGAATTTGAAACATTGGAGACACAAAGTGAATTAGGAGTACAAGATATTGGGACATTTGGAACATTTGGAACAACACTGGGGAATTGTACTTTGATTTGGAAATTGGTGAAGATAGTTCACTAGCACCTACCCTAATCCCTCGAGACTCGAACTTCGCCGAATGCCCGCTCCGACCATTCCTACTTACTATTCCACAACATAATTGTACCACCAGCGAAACCAGCCTCTTTCCTCCATAGAAAGAGAGAAGGAAGGAAAGAAAAGTAACCCCGGACGGAAAAGAATCTCGGATTTGATGTTGACGGAATCAATTACGACAGGGTCCCTCCAGATAAGATCCGGGTCATAGACCTGGAGAGAGGTGGAATTGATTTGCTGCTTGCTTTACATGCGGAGGGCTTGAAAGTTTAGATGGAATATCTTCCATAAAAGCCGTTTACTCGTTTGGCCATGACAATGAATATGGGAAATGGTTATTATGGCGTTGAAGCGTCTGCTCCCATTTCCAACAACATGGGTAACAGGAGTCCGCATATGCAGATCAGACAGCAGCGAAGTCAGAAGTTCAACCTATATCCAACAAGGCCCCGGACTTCTTCTAAAGCTTCCGAGCTATCTGTGAATACTGCTAGGTCGGGAAATGGTTCATTTCCATTCCCACCCAAATCACCCACACCATCCTTTCGCGAGCATTATTTGCCCGTTCATCCCCTCGCTCAAAATCCTCCTATCCCATATCAAAGACCCTCTACATCGCATCACCCAGCACCCAACGAACCCTCCCGATCCTTCACTGCCCCGACACAACACCATCTTCGACGAAAACCTTCAGAGGCTTCACGGCTGAGACAGCTTAGTAATGTGCGATCGCATTCTTCCACTGGCAGACGAACGCCTGAAAAGATGGTAGATAATTTCTCGAGGCCGCGACAAGCAAGTCTGCGGAGGCGGAACGAATCGCCCAGTCCTCTGATACATGCCTCACGGTTTGGTGCAGAACCGCAAGAAGAACAAACATTTAATAATGGGTCAATCTTCAGTACAAGAGATCGTGGTCTTTCATCCGCCTCCTCACAATCGGGTCAACAATTCCCTACACCTGCACCTACACCTGCACCTACACCTGCACCTACACCTACACTCCGCCCGTCTGCATCGATCCCGGATTACCATACTGCGGATTTAAATAATGCGAGACAGCGCAATATTCCACAGGCGAATTTCAGGCCTAGGACAGGAATCAACAGACCCGATAGCAATAACTCTTCCATATATCGACGTGAACCCCCAATTCGCCCACCAAACTTTGACGACGAGGAAGTCAGGGCAAGCTTCAGATCTGCTCTAACTACGAACTCGAGCTACTTTGGAACAAGTGGAACGGAAAGGAGCAGCGTGTTGACGAAAAGCAGTTCACATACTTCTTTCTTTGGGGGAAAAGACGAAGGAATGAGTGTGGATGATGCAATTGGCATGTACGAAGGTGGATTTATGGATTCAGGAGTTGAAGATAATGATTTAGAGGACAAGCTCTTTGAGGCCGGTGCGGACATCAGGCCGAGGTCTGTATATCGAGGCGAGGCGTTTGATGAGGATGACGAGGATGACGAGTTTCGACCAATGACACCGAGCTCGGAAAGGAGACAATCGAAGATTGAAGAGGCAATGGATGATTCTTTTGCGCCACCTCCTGCTCTGGATTCGTCGCAATTTTCGATTCGAGGTTCTACTCAAATGTTTCATGTCAAAGCATTTGAAGTAGAAAGTGCAGCAGGCATTTCAAATTTTGCCCCGGAGGACTTTCCAGAATCGAAAGAGCTTGATGGTGCGGGGGCATCTCTTGAGGGTGAAAATGGGTTTTCCGAACCGCATTCAGCGGTGCCGCCCCCAGCACCGGTCAATCCGCCAGATCCAGCTAGAGATCGGTATGGGTTCAAGAAAAAGACACAATACGTGTCGTTGGAGGAATATGAGGCTTGGAGTGGCCCTTATAATGAATATGTTGAGAGAAGGCGAAAGAAGTGGGTGTCATTGATGAAGGATCATAGTTTGATCACCGATAAGCCAATTCGATTTCCACCAAAATCAAATAAAGTCAAGCGTTTCGTCCGCAAGGGAATCCCGCCTGATTGGCGGGGAGAAGCATGGTTTTGGTACGCAGGTGGTCCAGCTATGGTGAGCAAACACTATGGTGTGTATGACAGCCTCGTGAAGCAAGCCGCCGCTGGCGGGGTTAACGAGACGGACGACGAAATTATTGAGCGGGATCTCAATCGCACGTTCCCGGATAATATCAAATTTAAACCGGATCCTCCTCCTGCTTCCGAGAAGCGAAACAGCCAACCTAGCATAAAGGAACCGGAGACCCCAATGTTGAAATCGTTGCGGAGGGTATTGCAAGCTTTTAGTATTTATAATCCAAGGATAGGGTATTGTCAGAGTTTAAACTTTTTGGCGGGTTTGTTGTTACTATTTATGGATGAAGAGAAGAGTTTTTGGATGTTGAATATCATCACAAGGGTTTATTTACCAGGAACCCACGAGGTTAATCTGGAAGGCGCAAATGTGGATTTAGGAGTACTAATGACTAGCATTAAGGAATCGATGCCTGCGATATGGGCTAAGATTGGAGGAGAACTCGATGGCACGGCTGGAGACGGGAGGCTTTCCATGCGTCTTCCACCAATCACGTTGTGTACCACAGCTTGGTTCATGTCATGCTTTATTGGCACCCTTCCAATTGAGACTACACTACGCGTTTGGGACAGCTTTTTCTTCGAAGGATCGAAGACTCTTTTCCGCATCGCTCTAGCGATCTTCAAAGTAGGGGAACAGGAAATCAGGGCCGTTTCAGATCCCATGGAAATCTTCCAAGTTGTTCAAACCATTCCTCGGAGACTTGTTGATGCCAATGGACTTATGGATGCATGCTTCCGGCGAAGAAATGGTTTCGGGCATATTAGCCAGGAAACTATCGAGCAACGCAGAGCAGATCGCAGGAAAGGGTACGCGGAAGAAAGAGCCATTGCGAATGGGGAGATCCCGCCCAAGAGAGGGGGAACATTCTTTTCAAAGAAAAAAATTAGGAGTGCGGAGACTTAAAAGACGTTATTTACCGGCGTGTGACCTAGGGAGTAATTGGGGATGTATACCTAGCATATGGTGTTTGGGATTGTGAGTTTGTCTGGCGGCAACGGTGTGAATGGCGTTTTTTTTTTGTTTTTTTTTTTTCATTTGTGTGGGAAAAAGAGAATTTGGAATTTGGACCCTTCCTTCTTTGCTAAGTTTGCTTTTTATCACGATGATCATGAGGCAGCATTTATATGGGGGCATATACAAATAAGGAGGGACTTTAGAGAGATTTTCTTGCGTTGGTACTGTACATTAAATTTGAACTTCTTAACGGGAAAGCAGGGGCTGGTTGAACTGGGCTGTGTTGCACAATGGAGGGAAGATTTGAACATAGGGATAAGATTAGGATTAGTGTAGGCAAAATAAGATAAGTGTTGATCGGAGGTCTCTTTTGGGGATGGTTGAATATCTAGTAGTGATTGTGTTTTTGAATTGTCCCCTTTCAACAGCTCCTAAAACATTTAATCAATCATCTGAATGACGCTCCGCTGGCCCTCTGGGAGCCACTGCCGTGGAGGCAGAACATTAGACACTTTGTGATAAAAATACAGTATTCGATTATTAGACACAGTCATTCGTTAGTCTTCCACCAAAACGCAAGCTTTACCAAGGACTATATTTATTAGTTGTCATAATTTGAATGAGTATAATTATCTCGTCTAATTATAGTAACCTTATATACACTTACCTCTATTGTCAGGGGTAACGTAAAGTCGGAAATTTCACATGCTTATATTGTGTTCGGTTACCCAGACAACAATTTACCCCAGACCCAGACTTTCATTTCCTTGCTGCACGTCAATAAACCTTCCGCGACTTTTAAATCTCCTTTCATGATCAGCGAGTGTCTAGAAACAACACTTTTCTACATTCGCCCATCATGGAACCGCCGACGATGACAAACTCAAAATCTGCACTCTTTGAAGTGTATTTACGATTAAGACCTCCTCCAATATCAACTCAACATTTATACCCCGCCATACCAATACCAGACCGCTTTCTTACTGTTGAGGAACCCACCGAGGAACAACTTCAAGATGGAACTGCATCTCCGACCCACATTACCTTAAATCCACCAAATGACAACAGACGCAGGGCAGTGGAGAAATTTGCTTTCACTCGGGTCTTTGAAGAAGAGAGTTCGCAGTTGGATTTATTTCATGGTACAGGTGTGCTTCCTTTGGTTGAAGGGGTGCTGGCCCAAAATGGTGGAGGTGGCAGAGATGGTTTGCTTGCTACATTGGGAGTCACTGGCTCTGGAAAGGTTTATATTGTGGTTTTTTGATTTGCAGATTTAACGGGTACTAATATTTCTTTCGCAGAGTCATACAATTCTTGGATCTCGACATCAACGCGGCCTTACACAACTTGCCCTCGATTTACTCTTTCGTTCCATTGACAACAATATCCTCGATGTCAATTCACACCCTGAACTACATGGCTCCATTGCATCATCGGATCCGTCAGAAGCTCAGGTCATGTCTGCGCAAATGTTCCTAGATACATTTTACTTCGATCCAGCCAGCTCAAGAGCTCCAACACCTCAGGTGGTACGAGTGCCTATTCCCTATCACCCAAGCCCAACCAAATTATATCCATATTTGCCGCCGTTTCAGGCAACAGGAAGTCCTAAAAGCATCAGGATCGTGGTTCACCAGGATAATGATAGTAAACCACCAGGATGTGCGCCAGTGCCAACTCCAGGAGAATCGACAGTATCGATGACTTCCTTTATCCCTTCATTCATGCAAGCTACTGCAACAGCAGCCAGGAAGATGATTAGTACTAAAACTCCTCAAAAGGGCGATTCTTACCAACCTACTCCGAGACGAACCATACCTACGAGACCATCAGCTTTGCCAAGTAGTCCGGATATTACGGATATCACCGTTGACATAGATCACCATGCGGAATATGCGATTCTGATTTCGATGTATGAGGTTTATAACGATAGGATATTCGATCTTTTGACGCCGGCGGTACTAAACAAATCTACAAAAGAATCTAGGAGAAGACCATTGCTATTTAAATCTACAGAACAATCACCCGACCGGAAGGTCGTCGCCGGGTTAAGGAAGATTATATGTGGTAGCATAAAAGATGCACTCATGGTCTTAGAAGCTGGTCTGAATGAAAGAAGAGTCGCGGGTACCAATTCTAATAGCACATCGTCTAGGTCGCATGGATTTTTCTGCGTGGAGGTAAAGAAAAGGAGAAGATCAAGAATACCAGGTGCTTGGGGAGGAAGTTCGCTTACCGTTGTAGATTTGGCTGGAAGTGAGAGGGCCAGAGATGCTAAAACTGCCGGTGCTACATTAGCGGAGGCCGGAAAAATTAATGAGAGTTTGATGTATCTAGGACAGTGCTTGCAGATGCAGTCAGACTTTGAGAATAACACAAAAGTACGTTTTGCTCTT